GTGGCAGATCATAACTAGAATCTAGCAAGGCTGGACAAATATCTGAATTCAGTTTGCTCATAGTGCCTGTGTTTAATGCAAAAGCAGAAAGAAAACTGATTACACTTTTATGGAGCTCTGTTGACTCTGCAGGAGTGACGAGTAACGTTTGTGTTACTTAAGACAAACTTGATGCTTGTGATGAAGTTAATGGAGTGTAAAGATGCCCTCCTTTCCTCACCTTTGAGAACAAAGCGGTCAGCATATCTTAATTAGAAATATGTTGGCACTATGAACAGGAAGAACAAGTCTCCACATGACTGTCTCTGAAGCCGAACACTTCTGTAACTTGAAAATCCCTTCTGAGGCTCTGCTTTGTGCACCAGAGAGCTGTGAACAGCTCTCGGGGTTGTGCTGCATGTTGCTGCCTGTAAAAATTGAGTAACAGCATGTAATCAGTTTTGCCTACTGCTTCAAGATGGAAGTTCTCTCTACTGATGACTCTAGATCATCTTGCTTTGGATTCCTCTGTGAACTGTTTTTTCATTTATTTGTTCTGCTGCCAAACAGCGGCTTGTGAAGTCTTTTTTTTCTTTTTTAATGTTCCTGTTGGTGTGTTACCTTCTCTGGCTAGTTCTGTCTTGGCTCTTTTGTCTTTTTTTCATGGCCTTCACTTTAGCTACGTCTTAGTCTGATTCGCGCTGCTTCTGTTTGGCATTGTGTTTATTCTTACTGCGCCACATTCTCTCTTCTTGCCTCATGCTCCTCATTTATTACCCTCATTCTCCTCTAATGCCTGCCCTTTCCATTCGTTTTTCTTCAGCAGGAGAAATACCACTCTTCTTGCTTGTATTCACTGGGGGTTTTGAAGAGGCTGGGGAAGCTGATATAGGTTGTCGTAGTAATATTAAATGTCTGTAAGTGACCTGTTCTTTGTTGGAGGAGATTAGTGAAGCGTTACTTCAGTCTAGCATCTGCACACGAACAAAAGTTTGAAATTTGCCTGCCTTCTCTTTCCCCAGTGCTTGCACGTCAGCTTCTCTGGAGCCTTCCTATGTTTTGCGGGCAATCGGAACAGACGAAGACTTGGCTCACTCATCTATAAGGTGCGTGGAGTGGTCTTCCCTAATGCTTCCAAATATTTTTCTTTTCTGCTAAAAGTAGGTGGTGGATTTGTTCCACCCCTCCATATGTACGTTATTCTAGTCCTTAATGGTTTTCTTTTGGTTTAGGTTTGGTATTGGTCGTTTCACTACAGAGGAAGAAGTAGATTATACAGTGCAGAAGTGCATACAGCATGTTAAGAGGCTGAGGGAAATGAGGTGAGCCATCTTCTTGTTGAACATAAAGACTCCTTAGGTATGATAAAAATTTGAAGAGTTGGATTTAGTTGAAAGTAATTGCTTGCTTCAAAAATCTGGTAGTGTCTCTGTATATAAGCAAGCAGTGTTGCCAGAGTGGATAGTGAGCCTGATCTTAACAGTAGTGACAAATTTTTAAGGAAAAAAACTGATAACAAACCTTCTCCCAGATCCTGCCTGTGTCAGGGAAGGAATACAAGTAGGGCAAGCCTCTAGGGCAGTACCTAGAAGTTTCTAAGCCAGGGATGGTACTACTGAGTTTGTGTATTGTCATGTTGGCTTATTTTGGTGAAACTGAAAGACTTGTGATGCATCTGGAGAATGCCAAATGTGAGGGCTCAGTCTCTGAGAGACACAAGTACTTTATGCCTAAAGTGGGAGCAGGGCATGAGGTGGAGCACCTGCCCTCTCACCTCTTGTATTTTGGGCTGAGGACACAGTAGAGGAGTGATTGTCTGGAGCTCACTGACCTCCGGAAGGGGAAGATAGGTAGATAGGTGTCTCCTAATTTCTTGTGTAGTTGATGAAATTGTCTGTTTGGTTATTGTTGATATTGTCCTGTGCATTTTAGATAGCCCTCATTTTTCTCCTTTCTTTACAGCCCGCTCTGGGAAATGGTGCAGGATGGAATTGACCTCAAAAGCATTAAATGGACTCAGCACTGAGAAAGTGCCGCTATCTATGGACTAAACGTGGATTAAAATGCATTTTCTGTACATTCCTGAACAAATTATGTAGCACTTCTGGGTTTTGATGCTTGCAATTTGACTGGAAAACTACCCTTCCTGATCACAAAGTCTAAGAAGCCAAAAATGAGACTTTATCCTGGAGAAAGGCAGGATGATATAACACCCATTGCATTTATATTGACACACAGAAATTTATGCTAAAATATAATTTATTTGGAAATGTATTTTCTAATAAGAAAATTAAATCAGTGTGTTACTCCTGTGCCAGTGGAATCCTGGCGAGAGGTTGTTGCTTCTCAATGTAAGACATCCCGTGTAGCTGTTCTGTTTGCAGCGCAGACCTATCGCCAGGCCTCCTCCTGTTTTTTCTGTTTGAGGCAGGCATCCTGCAGCAGCAGCTGCTTTTGTGCTGCTCAAATGCATTGTACTACGAGAAATTCTTAGATAGGAAGCAGCTTGGCATTTCTAGACGAAAAGGATGCCTCGGTGTGGCTATGTGCCTTCACAGTGAAGTTGTACACGCAGTTAACAATTTTTTTTTCTGAAACTGAGTATTTTTGGCTCTTTTGGTTTTATCTTTTTGGGTGATGCTTGTACAGACCAGTGTGCATTAATCCAAAACATCCTTCTGTGTTACAGAGTTTATGATACAATGATGATGCACTTTGCTGTCCCCTCCATTGTGTTTTTTCCATGCATTTTTTTCTAAGTGAGGAAAGAAAACTTGAACGACTGGGGGCGGGGGGGTAGGCAGAGTATGTCAGCTTCAGTTGCAGTACCAGTTTAGTTGGAACATGAGTGGTGGGGAGAGCAGATTTTAAAGTGCAATGTCTTAATGCAGTCTGGGTTTTTTGTTGTTTTGTTTTGTTTTTTTTTCTCCCCTTGTGATGAGTCCTTTGCTGTTACTCAGAGTTTGCCTGTGGGCCCTTGGCTTCTGTCACTTTAGGAAGTCTTGCCCAGTTGAGCTGGGATGTTTTGTCTGGAGGTAAGAACAGTGCTGCTCTGGAGCTTTCTCTGCGTGACAGACTGTACTTCTGTCTGACTAGAGACTTACATGGGAATCCCTTCCCTGCAAATGCTGGAGGAAAGTGTCTGTTAAAAAGGGTTTGATGAGATTAATTCGTATCAGTGTTTCTCCTTTATTACCTTTTTTGATCTTCCCATTAGGAAACTTAACCCCGTATTACGAAGTGCCTTTGTTTCAGTTGCATAAGCAGGCAGCTCTCAAATTAGTTTTGTTGACTGATGGATGCTGTATTAGCTGCTGAATTTAATGTACTCTATAGACAGTACGTCTCCAGTTCTGGATGGTATCTACCTCGAGGATATGAACCATGTAATGTAAAAGCTGAAGCTAAGTCTCACAAGGTGGATTGTGTTACAGAAGCTTGTTCTTTTTTTGTTACCAAGGACAGATTTGGTTGTTTGCAATGCAAAGCTAATCCTCAGTTGTTCTATTTGAAATTATTAGCTTTAGCAGTTTTAATATTGTAGGGCTGGCACCTTATATTTCAACACAACATTTTTAAAACCACCATATGCATAAATAGGTTTTAGAGGTCTTGTATGTACTATGTTTTATCCTTGGGCCGTACATGTTTTCTGGATTAAGCATGTGATAACACCTTCCCAGCATGTCTTAGAACTCTATGCTTATGAAATTGTTCTTTGTGTTTCATGGATGATAAAAAATATAGATAAGACTTATACTTGGCTACTTTCAGTCTTTTTGTATCGACCTTTCTGGCTGAACTATGCAGCACAATCAGTAAGTTGCTAAATTGCAGCCCTTCATTAGAGAACAGAGAAAGATAAACTCCTAAGCTTTCTGTGAACACTGTTAGAAGCTTTTTCAGTCATCAAGTCAACATTTGACTTCTGATGAGTCATTCTTCTCAAACTCAGTGCCTGATCTGAGCTAATTTTGTTTTAAACTCAAATAGCTTAAATTGTGGTTATTTTGAGAAAAGGGAGCCCCAAATTCTGACGATTCTGAGCACCTCTTACGTGCTAAGATTTAAAATATAAATTCTACATGTAAAGGTTTGGGCAACTCATTCACACTGTTAACAAATGTTTGTTTGAAAATGCTTATAGGACAAGATGAGGAAAAATTTATAGTGGAGATACTTTTCCCCATGACAGAAAGAAGAAATGCCAAGGATGAATGTGTAGTTGTAGACCACTGAATGCAGTTAAAGCTTTTTGTATGGGGAAGTAAATTTCTTTGGGAGGAGAACATTTACAAATGGAACTGCCTGTAACTCAGAAGTGAGGGAGCTGTGGGGTTTTGGAGGGGGGAGGTTGTGATTAATTGGAGCCATCTGCAGGGCATTACATTAGTAATACAAGGTGAGGATACCAGGAAGGTGAGGATTTAGTGTCACCATTTTGCAAGTGTCATAAAACTTGAACCAGTGTGACAAACTGGGATAAAACTTAGAGTAGTCCAAGATGGTTAGGTAATACATAAGGGGAGCAAAAAATTCTCCGTGATGGATTTTAGTGTTTCTAAAGGCTGATAGAGCATATCACCTAACTACAGAAATTATTGAATATTTCTTCAGGAAGGATAATACAGAATTAGACAGTTTCCTCTTCTGGACTTGGAGACAGACAGGAAGAGGGTCAGTTAACATTTGTTGACAATGTTATACAGCCAGCCATAAACTTATTGGGGATTTTTTAAAATGATAAACTAACATAAACACTATTGTTCCCAACAAAGTACTGCCTTTTATCTTCGATCTTGCATCTGCCTGATTGATCAGCTTGCTGTTCTCTGTCTGGTGTGACTTCAGTCACGGTCCAACTGTTTTCAGTCAAATTGCTTCTGCTAACAATGTGTATGCCCCTTGCTTTGAAATGATAAAGTTTCCTAAGGGTGAGTCCCAAAAAGTTGGCCTAAGAGATCTCTTCTCCGCTAAAGACAGTTTTGATTAAATTTCAGACTGGTGAATAAGGTCCTGCACCGGAAGAAAGCAAATGCCAGTTTTTAAAATGGACAAGCCAAGTGCTTGGGAGAACTGAGCACCGATATCTACCCGAAACAGAGTAATAAAAAAAGGCTGGTACAAGATGGTCTTACAAGAAGAAAAGCTCATACTAATGAGCAATCAAAGTGGTTTTGTGCTGAGTAGGCATAGTAAAACAAAAAAGGTGTTTATTTTTAAAAAGTAACTATACAGGATCAATAAGGCACATCATAGCTGACACAGATTTTAAGTATAGATAGGAATGAGGAGAGTATTTCTGGGAGGCATCTGTGATGATTATTTCTGTTGAACATTTTCCTAAATGATCTGGAAACAAAGTAGTGTGAATAATTTAGTAAACTGGGTTCATTCATCCAAGCCACATCCTTGTACAGGTGAAGGAATAGGACCAGAGGTTGTGTGTACAGAATGGTATCTCTAGGGTGCTGGAGAAGCAAGGAGCCTGGGCTTTGGGGTAATGTTTCCAGACTGATGGCGTAGCAAAAGTATAATGCAAGGAAGAAGACATTTCTGTTGGTTTCTTCAAGCTTTACTTTAAAACGTCCTCTGTAATTTTTTTTCCCCAGCTGCATACCTAACATCCTGCTTCACTTTTGGTTCAGGTGGAGGAGACAGATTCATTAGCATGCTCTCAATAGTTTCCTAGTACCTAATAAAGGCAAATCCCATTCTTTTCTAACACCATTTTTCTCTGCCTGCCTTCCACCACATGCATGTTACAGCGGAGCATACTGGACGTTGCCACCAGTGATCCCTGACTTTTAACCTTCTGCCTACCAGTGTTTTGCTTTCCAGAGACACTTTTTCCCCTGCTATTGGTACCTAACTGCATCATGCTACCAGCTCCTCTTTGGTACCCTTGATCACTTGGCATGCTCCTAATACGAGTCCAGGATTTTGTTCCTTCTCATCCACTCTACAAACAAATCTGCTTCTGTTAATCTTGAGTGACCCAAATTGTCATGGGGAGAGAATATTTAGTTATGGTTGAGAAGATAGCTGGAGACCTGTGGAAGTAATCTGTGTCATGGGCATCTGTTCCAGACTTTGCTCCAGCTGAGCTGCAGCACAGACCAGAACGCTTGAGGTGCCAGGACCCGTGCTGGTCTGCAGCAGCTGTCTGGGGCACCAGGACTTGCTCTCTAGTGTGCCTTCGTGGAGTCAGTGCAGACACAGTCCCACGGCCTACTGAGGATTATCTAGTCTGGTCCTCGGTTTTTTGCTGGTCCACAGAGTAAATGCCTCAAGTCTCTCCACCAGACTTTATTTCAGCAACAAAAAGCAACGTGGTGACTCATTGCGCTGCACTAAAGCTGAAAAGTCTCAGTTTCCTCCTGACCTGGGATACTCCAGCGCTGCCCTTTGTTATCCTGCACCTTCTCCCTGCTGCAGGGTGGCCGGTGCGGCCTGGGAAGCGCTGCAGTGCCGCAGGGCGAGGCCCGGGGCTGCTGCTGCTCCTGCGGCCCCTCGCGT